CAAGTGCAAGTTATGTTTGCTTCATTTATATTTTTGTCTATGATGACTTCGAATATTGATTTATGCAATGGCATATCGCCAAAAGACATTTGACAAAAAAATAAATATACAATACTGCCTTCGCTCAAATACTACGTCCATCAAACATGCATTCCTTCTCTTCTAGATCGAATAAATTATAAAAAGGTGGACGTTTTATTTTCTTAAGTATATCTGGTTAAAGTAAGTTTCTCTGAGGCTTTGTATTTAGGTAAAGAAATAAATGAAAGAAAAAGTTATTTAAGGATTAATTTTCTATTTAGTTTAGGTTATCAGGTGATAACTACAATGGAACTGTTGAATATTCGGTCCTATTCAATATTTCCCGGTATGGGCTGTCGTATACACACCACAAAATCAGGGTTTACGACTAACATTTTTATAGCCTTTTAGTCAGGGAAGTTTCGAATTCTATTGACTTGATAAAAGTGCTATATTTCGCACTGTCACATATACAAATGTATCAAAGCGATTTTCGTCAGTGTGAAAAACCTTTTACAATGTGAAAATTTCATTTTTGGTATTGACAAAACAGAACGGTACTTTCTATATACTTCATTCAAAGCCGAATATTTTCTCTTCAAATACATGTAAAGCTATGGTAAAATGTGTTGTTATATTTGCACGCCTTTGCTAAGTTTTCTATCAAAACTTATTCCATTTATCAAATCTTACCAATAATAGAAAGCAGTAGAATTGCACATTCAAACTTGCGCGCAGCTGTGTTGTCTAGCATGACGTCACTTCAGGTTTATTATTATATCCCAACTCTTTAGATGAAAAGACAGTTTCTTTGCTGTAGGTATTTTTAAAATAAAATAAATAGAAAATTTAATGTTTTTCTTTTGAACACCATATATAAATATCACTTGTATAGCAGAATTTACCTTGTGAAAACTAAAGGGTATTAAACGATAAACCATAAAATATCCTATGTGTATAGTCATTAAATTGGTCTGATAAATAACATGAATATTTGTTTGATATTTACCTGGTTTCATCAAACAGTGATCTTGCAATCATTATGAATTCTTGATTAACATACAATTTTTTAAGTGGATCTTTTTCATACTTTATTAATTACAAACACATTTATTGTTTTTATATCTTTTTTTTTATTGATCATGATGAAATTATTTCAAATTTGATACACCAAACAACAATTGAGTATGAAAACAAAGAATTTGAACTTGTTTTGTTCAATACATATATTGAAAACAACCATAATGACGATTATGCTTGGTGCTGGTACTTTGAGAAACAGATACCTGTTATGTTTTGGCTCAAACTTTATATAGATCTTTACATGGTGTTTATTCGTTTGTTCCGATCAACATTTATCTTAAGTGTTCACCACACATTTGGTTCCATTGGTATACTTCAGTACAGTTGGAAGACACGGATATAATTCCGTTCATCTGTATCACCATTATCAGTGACCACAAATGTGTCACCACAGACAGCTATTGCCCGTGGAGAGTCCATTCCATCTGATAACGTCAAAAGTTCCCTGACTTGTGTCCCGTCCCCAGACATCTGTACGACGTTGTGTGAGTCATTACCACACATGTATATGTTACCCTCCCTGTCCACGTCTATTCCCCTAGCACGCCTAGCAACACCCACCTCCATCACATCCGTACGACGTTTGTCAGCCGACAGTCTAGACACCGCAACGTCCCCCGTAGTTTTGTTACTTACACTGACAAGTGTGTCACCCTTCATTGGATCATGAGTGAGGGAAAAACATGTGCTGTTATATTTATATAGCAACCCGGCTGCTCCGTCCTGTGTCACACTGTATACTCCTCCACTAGTACCCACGGCAAACCTCCCGTCAGTATGTGTTATACCATAACAGTTTTTACCATTTGACATGTTGATCTCAGACGACAGTGAAAGTTTCGATGCCACGACCTTCACGACGTATACACCACCAGGACTCTTGACAGCGACCGCCAACGTGTTGTTGTTCACAAGACACATACCACAGGGATTTTGTTGAACGGTCAACTCGTTGAGGTACTGTCCTGTGTCTGTAAACAACTTCAGCTTGTTGTTTTTATAATCACTTACTACAATTTGGGCACATGGCAGGTACACAACACCAAGGAATGTGTTCTTTTTACTTTTTAATTCATTCAACATATACATGTCATCGGTCGTTTCTGTTATGTTGCCTGCTAGTCTTATCAGCGGAATTTCGCTAAGAGGCGAGCTTGACGCCATATTGTTTTAGTTTGAAACGGGGCGTGGCTTAAGTGCGATGGGAGGAGCTTAACACGATTGATCATGATTCTATCGCAGATTTGAACATGGTCCGTGTCCAATCAAAACACGCGTTGTAAACAAGTCGCGTTGGAATGTTCTATATAACAGTATAAAGAAATGTTAATCGCTCTTATTGTTGGAAAGCATTGCTATTTGTTTCCCGATGATTATCTGGCACTATAGAGTGACCCTGAGAGCGTGTTTTTTTCTAGTCTTTTGTTTTAACAGAAGTTTGAATTTCTGTTGTCTAATTTATTTTCGCCTTCAGCTTATACGTCACCGTACTGAATCTGACAAAATGATGGCGAGAGGTTATTTTGAGCAGACTTGCTTAATCAGCCAATGTTTTAAACAGACAGACACTCTGCACTGGTAGGCATTCAATCCTTATATTTACATTCAGTACGATTGTGATATTGTTTTTGATAATTGTTTAATACATTGGACTTTTGCAAGTCTGTGCCACGTAAAGTGGCAATGAATGTGACGTTATCACTTACTTTGTGACGTAACACCAGTCAGTGTGAAAATTAACATTCACAATGTGAACATTTCACTTTTGAACGGTTCTTTCTATTCACGACGATGTTTGATTCATGCAAGTGTTACCTGGGTTCACAACAGTAACAAATCAGATCCGAATTCTTTTTACATATTTATTCCATTTAAAAACCCTGTTGACAAAACAAATACAACATATAAATTCTACGTTCAACAAAAACATGCCTCCCATACTTACATACACAACATAATTAAAGGGAAATAACTCCATCGACAAATGCTGTTATATTCTATTTTACCCAATCAAATGTACATATACAATGAAATTTAATGACATACTGATTTCTAAACCTTTAACTTGTATATGAGTATATATGTATTCAGTTATCTATTCTAAAATATTATAAATTTATTCTTAATATGATTAAAAAAATATCATTACTTTCAAACCTATAGTTTTACTATTACAAATTTCTCATACACATTTAAAATTCTAGACATATTGATCACTCACCCCACAGCTATGGTGTGGAGGTTTCCACAAATTCCACTCAATTAGTATAAATGTAAGTTCAACCAGGAGTTTTATACTAATATAATATAAATTTACTTGATAAACAATTTGACCATTATGAATTTAATGCCAATTCGTAGAAAGTTAAATAAACAAAAAGACACATATAATTACATACCCACAATTAAATAACAAACAAATCCTTTAATCTCTACATTTCCTGTTATATTAGATATACAAAGACCTATTAAACAAATAGAGTAAAAACTTACCAGATCATGACTTTTGACTTTTTCAAATTCAAACTAGATGCTTCATGTCAGCTGGTCAGGAGCGGAGTGCCCAAGTTGGCTTAAGCCTTTACACAGGTAAACTAAGGCATCCGTCCTGTCCAATCATATTACCCGTCCTTAGTCAGGTGTCATAGCAGCTCACTCAGTCACTCACATGCACACTCAGGTAATTACATGTCACCTACACAGGTAGATTCATGAAAGGTCCTTACACCATCTTTCACACCAGACAATATATGCATATACAAAACATGTTTAACAAAATCGTATACCTGCAATATGTATATTTAAATCAATTATTAAGATTTCATTAATTTCAAAACGGGTTAAAAACATCCTATTACACAAGTGTTTTGTTCAATACATAGATTGTACACAATCATACAGGCGATTATGTTTGTTGCTGATAATTTGAGAAACGGATACTTGCTATGTTGTGGTTCAAACTTTAAATTAATCTTTACAATGTGTTTATTCGTTTGTTACGATAACATTTATCTCAAGTGTTCACCACACATTTGTTTCTATTTGTATAGTTCATTACAGTTGGAAGACACGTACATAATTCATTTCATCTGTATCACCATTATCAGTGACCACAAATGTGTCACCATGAACAGCTATTGCCCATGGATCGGTTATTCCGTCTGATGAATTCAGCAGCTCTCTGACGTTTGACCCATCCCCAGACATCTGTACGACGTTGTGTGAGTCATTACCACACAGGTAGATGTTACCCTCCCTGTCCACGTCTATTCCCCTAGCACGCCTCACGACACCAGCCTTCATCACATCCGTACGACGTTTGTCAGCCGACAGTTTAGACACCGCGACGTACCTCGGGGTGGTATTACTGAGACTGACAAGTGTGTCTCCTTTTACTGGATCATGTGCCAGGGACCAGCAATAGCTTTTATAGTTAGATAACAACTCAGCTCTTCTGTCCTGTGTCACACTGTATACTTCTTTATATGAGCTCACGACAAACCTCCCGTCTGTATGTGTTATACCATAACAGTCTTTACCATGAGGCATGTTGATCTTATACGACAGGGATAGTTTTGATGCCACGACCTTCACGACGTATACACCACCAGGACTGTTGACAGCGACCGCCACAGTGTTGTTGTTCACCAGACACATATCCCAAGGCTTTTGCTGAATGGGCAACTCGTTGAGGTACCGTCCTTTGTCTGAAAACAACTTCAGTTTTTTGTTGAAGCAATCACTTACTACTATCTGGGAACCTGGCAGGTACACAACACCAAGGACATGGCATTCATTTTCATCTGACGGGGACTTGATATTGAACCTTCTAATTTCTTTTACACGACGTTCTGTCATGGGGGGCGAAAGATCACAACGGTGACAAGGGATGCATCGTGGTTCTTTGCGGATGACTATCTTTCCCATAGCGTTATCACTAATGATACATGTCCAGGGACAATTTTATGTTTGATGCTGACGGACGTGAAAGACTTTTTCATCTCCGTGATCAGGGTCTTGCACGACTCCACTTCTGCCTGTCCTCTCTGATACAACCTTATCGTCTCAATGTTGTGTTTGCCCTCTGCAGCTTTAATGGACGACTTCAGGGTATTTAGCATACCATTCATCATGCGTTCGCACTGCCGTAATGATTCCTCCATATTACTTTTCTCTTCTTTGAATGTCATGATCAACTCGTCGGTGATGTCCTTCTGAAGCTTGTTCAACCGTTTGTCCACCTTTTCACGTAGATCTGAGATACTCTGCAGTGCGATTTTTTGGTTCTGTACCATGGCCTGGAGTTGTCCGTCAAAGTCCTTAACTAATAAGTCCATGACCTCAAACCCTTTTTTCAGCGCCTCTTGCATTTTTTCTAGTTTTGTTCCTGCTCTTAACTCCAGAAAATAGTCTGTCACTGTTGAAACCTCTTCACAACGCCTGTGGTCTTTAAAAACGCATACGTTGCAGCCAAGAAGTTGATGGTTCTCACAATACCAAACTATTTTCTTGTCGTGTCGGTCACATCGAGGGGACGATTTTTTAGGTTTAAATCGGGTGTTATCGTTCATGGTGATATCGACTATATCACAGTCAGAATGTAAGATATCATGATGTTGTTCCTTACAAGCCTCGCAAAAATTTAAGTTCATCGATTTACACCAGAATTTTGCTGGGTTGTTCAGCTTACCTTTTGTCTGGCAGGGTTTGCAGTACAATGGTTCAGATGAACGTTCTCTGAGCTGGATAAGGTCCTGGATCACATTATTAGTCGGGAACTGTACTGCCCATTTATCTTTGATTTCTGTTTGGTATATAGGAGACGTCATCCTCCTACAGATCGGACAAGAAAAGGATGTTGCCGACGCCATTTTTCCGGACAGTTCCTTGGTGATATAGGTCCCGAGACAATCCTGACAGAAGTTGTGGAGACAGGGTAAGGACTTGGGTTGTTGAAGTCGCTCCAGGCAGATTGGACACTCCAGTAGGTGTAAGTCCGGAGTGAGACCGCCTTCAGCCATTGTGTGGTCGAGACCGGATCAACACAGACCTGAAATTGAACGAACCCGTAGATAATAAATCGTTGTCAATAAGATGTTAAGCAGGAGAAGTCGGCTAGGAACATATGGAGCCTCATTTGCATATCTGATTAAAGAAAAATGGTTACAAATGTATCATGTAGTGGCCTAGTAGTTTATAATTAGTTGATATTCACTTTCGATATATTTCCATGTCATAGGTGATTTTGATTCCATAAGATGCCCATAGATGGATCTGTGAATAATGGCATATTAAATGACGAATTCATATTCAGCATGTTCATATTAAACATGGCACTAAAATTTTAGTATTTTAGACGACCGAGCCTGGCTTTTAAGGCAAATAGTTGCACTTTTCTTTTTCGTTCATAAAACCTAATCATGCACGATATATTTCCGCATGACCGATATGAATTTGCATAATGGAATTAGCATTTGTTCTCTAAGTGAAAATAAAAACACTGTCTCATTAAATTCCAGTATATACCAAAGAGTACACATGGGAACACCTAAATGTATTGATAAACAAAAAGCCAAGAGTGTTAACATCGCTCACCTGGATAGTTAATTAGTTGCCTTTACATGATTAGCATTTGCATCTATGGTTACAGAATGGGGATCTCTACTGGTTTGATGATGGGAATCTGGACTATGTCAACAAGGCCTGATCGAGACCTCGAGTCCATACCAATAGTCTTAAGACCCAGCAACGAAATACATCTTTCCCTTGAAAGCCAACCGAATTATGACCAAAGACTTAACGCCAAATTAAGGGGCATACCAGGCTGACAGGCGAATTGAATCTTTGTGTTTAGCAAGCCTTAGCGAGTGCATATTATATGGTAAGAAAGTTGGCATCTCAACCGTTTCTAATCGATACACCTTTTCAGCCTCACTCCGAGTCCACTGGTGGGCAGTGCATGCTTGGTTTTGAAAAGGAGAGATAAGGTCGAAATGCTCAGCCCCATCGCTTAACCAATTTTGAATACCCCCATCCAAAGAAATAAAATACTGCCCATGAGCCTCGTCGGGTATGAGCGCCTCTTTTTTGTATTTGAATCCCATTGTCCCACACATCTTAAATAGTGGGAAGGGATTTGCCCCGTCCTCGCTCCCGTTGATAGTATTTGATTTAATTTTATATAAGTGGTATTATATAATATGAACTGTATTTATTTTACAACAATTATGAAATAAGTCATTTCAAATTATATTAATCATTTTTGTTGGCCCGGATTTTAGAGCTCGGGGGTTTTAATGCGAGAGGAAACCGGAATACCCAGAAAAAACCCACGTCGTATGACAGGTGACCCCCATACCTTTTCACCTCCGATCGTGGAATCGAACCACGGCCGCATTGGTGAAAGGCAAGTGCGTTATTCACTGCGCCACCCGACCACCCAGGTACAGTATCAGGTTAAAATACTTTAAGCATCTAATATCAATTGATAAAACAGATATCGATCCAAAGAAGCTATTGGTATCCAACGTAACAACTACAATTCCATGGCATGGATAATGATTACGTCAACAATCGGGTCATTGCATCCATAGCCTATATGAATGTCATCTGAATGTGGCAGGGTTATATAGTGGCAGTGCAATACGATGGTAAGAATGATTGTGTATATGTACAACTATTCATACTTGTTTGAATAATCGGCGATGATATCATTTAGAGAGACACCTCCCTATTTAATTATATCAAATCTAAATCAGTGTTTTGCAATCTGATACCATCTCAGTTTTAGGCCGATTTAGCGTAGCAAGGGAGGCAACTCTTATTTGTTTGGTGACGAACAAACATGATTAAGATAAAACAAACATATATGCAAAAATTCCTGTGATGTTCGTAATATTTACGTATATTTATTTCACCATTCATATCAGTTCAAAAAGTTTATCAATTTTGAACGGGCTACAAACAATTTTAACTACTGGAGTTTCGGTTTGTATAAATCTAACACGGCAAAGGTGTGTTTACATTGTGATACAGACAAAAATGTGAGATACACAGATAATTAGAGACTATTTGTGTAATTAGCATGATATGTAAGTAATAATACCACATATTTGTCCGTAATACTCACCTAGGAAACTCTTGTCTAAAAGGAAAGCACAAACTCGTCTCCAATCAACCAGACAGTTGTTTACACCTTGAACTGTCTCCAAACAACGACGTATGTTAAGCAAAATATAAATATCGAATGGGAGAGGCGGTATCACAATTCCGGATATTACACAATGAATTCTTATGCTTAAACAAACAAAATCACATACAAGTTTCTTAAGAGGTGCTACATCTGCATCTGAGATAATAAATTTCGATAACAGTTATTAAGCTGTTTACTGAAGAATTAAAAATCTGAAGGCTTCACCAGACTACTTTCTGCTTGGATGGAGGCTTCGATTTTTTACATTCTGATTACTAGCTTAAATAGAAGCGTGTGCATTTAAAAAAAACTAGGCACATCATGTATTGTGTTTATTTGTGTATATAGGCACCATCCAGACCAACAGAATAATGTCATACGTGGCATAGATTGTAGACCATAGCTCCGACAATGTAGAAGAATTAAATCAGTTCATCGAAATCCTAGTTTATTTCGGCAGTAAAGAAAGAAATGAAAGCATGAAAGAACAGAAATATATAGAAAAAAGTGTGTGGAGAAGTAGAGGTGGGTTTGAACATAAATTTGTTTTAATGATCGGTAATTAATATGTACCAGGCATATTTATACTTATACGTGTTGCTGCATAAACAAGTGTAATATAACTTATTTTTGTCAGCGGTCACGAGAAAAAAAATAGGCAGCCTTTACCTATATATATAATATGTATATATAATATGTATTTTGAAAATTGAGTTGACCGTACTTGTTCTAATAGTCAAACGTAGGGGGGGGGGGGGGGGGGGGACTGACAATGCTTTTAATATTGCGCCCTTTAAATTTCATATCAATCGCGACTCATTTCCAGCTCTTCACACGCTTGTCCCCAGCTCAGGTGCCGGAACCTTACCTTTGTGATCTGTCCCCAATACACTTAATGTGGCCTCATTACACTGTTACACGATTGTACAGCCCAACTAGGTGCGCAGATGATCAGGAAATTCCTGCTAACACGCTCAGAATTCGTGAACGTTCTACCTCAAAATTACCATGAAAGCATAACAATGTATTATTTATCACGAGATAAGACAGTATCCAATATAAGCGTTAATTCTCAAAGTTATGTTATGAAGTGTGTCACAGCCTATTTTGTTACAAGTGAACGCTATCTAATGATAAGTAAGAGGACGATTGACGTCAAATCAACAGTCAGCTTGCTGATCAGAATGAATAATGTCTCTCGTGTGTTTTTGTATGTATATAGAGACCATTCAAATGCGTAACTTCTTTAACTATGTGTTTGTGTTGCGTTCTCTCCACAAGTTCAAGTGACAAAACTGTAAAACCTGTGTAATGAGAATAACAACCTTAAGGCTATATCCTACATTACTGTGACATAGTTATCTCTTGTCTAAATATAATAGAATACTAGTAGCCGCACAGGTCTAGAACTCACGACCCAGTGGTGGAGGAAGATAGTAGACAGTTAGACGCCTAAAACATTCAAACGCACATTAAAACAGATGTAATATTTTAATAAATACGCAATTTTTTAAAACATAAAAAATAGCCAAGTATGATAGACAACGGAGCAGTTTTATTGCGGTTTATAGTGTTACGGTGTATACTATTGAATAAGGAAATAGTTAATGATTTTCTGAATGGTGTATTAGATTTATTATATGTAAATTATGGGCATTGTGTAATATATAAACAACTATACAATTTCCTCATTATCATATGGAACTGAAGAAGGACAACTAATGTTACAATTTTCTGCATCACATTGAAACGTTATTATCTCTGCCATTTGATACTGAATATATACCGAAAATTATAATGGTTAAATGATGTCTTCAGTACAATCAAGAGAGCATTGTACTGACTAGGAAAAGCGTTCTAGATCCCATAACAGGGAAATAATAAAGTATTCCCTTTTTAATTTAATTTTTGCTTTTTCAAATCTTGACAGAATATTCTTATTAAGCCTGTTTGAAGAAATTTCAGAATTTTAAACAGTTTATTGCTTCTTAGTGTAATCGCTGAAATACATTTTGGCGGGGGGGGGGGATTTTGTGTGATTTATCGATATGATGACACCTGCGTTTGTGTTTTATATTTCAAATAAAACATCGTGCCGTCCAAGATGGAACGTCCTGTTCCCTTTTTTCAAAATAAATATTAATACATGTATTTCATGTAAACATGAAACTTTTATAGGAAATTAAATTTGGGTTTTAGCTTTGAAATAATATATCAAAGTCATAGTCAGGCTGGGGTTAATTCAATATATATTAAAGGTTATTGTTATAAAAGGACGCCAGAATACTTGCATATAACACCTAGAAAATGTTAACGAGAGTAATACAACGGACCAATTGTCATGGTTTCTGGAAACGTAAAATGTTATTATGTCAATTTAGAAATGAAACAAGTAGTTTAAATATTTATGTATATAGCGATTGGACAAAGGTATTTTTCAAATGGTTTCAGTATGAACGCGAATCGTTAAATCATTCCTGCCAGGGGTTCATGTAAAGAACTGGAAACTGTTTTTCGGCATGACTATAAAAATGATAAAAATCACTCTGAACAAAAAACCATCATTGCGCAACGTTTATGACAAAAAAAATATACAAAATATACAAAATATATTTACACATAAAAGAAACAGTTATTACAAAAAAACGAAAATGTGACCTGGCCATGCATCAGTCTATTTCATTTCCTGATAAGCATCTCCATTCTGATTTGCTCTGTTTTGTCGTGAGAGCAACACTCCAATAACATATGTCATCAGCAATACAAAAGACTCAATCAGAAAAATGTAAGTGAACCACATTGGTGAATAGTTTTCCATCAGCGTTCCAATAACAATAGGGTTAATAGTGGCACCGCAATCAGCTGCGATATTGAAATACGATGAAATGTGTCCAGTTACCGGGAAAAAATCTTCTTCCGTCCATGTAAAGACCGTAGGAAGAATGACTGCGAAGAAAAAGCCTATGAATGCTACTGACAGCCATNTTCTATTGCGGTGTATATGCAAGCCATTAAACCCATGTTGATAAGGATAATTATCTTTCTATATTTTGAAATATTTTTCGATGACGTCATTTCCGTTACAGCTCTATCAGAGTAAATGTCACGATTGAAAGTGAAGAACATAAGCAGGAAGGCCATTGCAACAAATATACAAACACAGGCCGATATTATATACGCAATATATAGCTGAGATGAATGATAGAAAGATATAGGCATATGCAAGTCACGTTCAGTGACGTTAAATAAAAAGGTTCCACTTTTGTTGAGAGTATTGGTATGTTCGATATACAAATCAGTAGTAGGCATTGTTATTAAAGTGGCATTGTTTCCATCATTGGCAGTTGAGTGATCCGGCATATTATGCTGATATAGTTTCCGGAAGGACAAAAACTGGGCTGTCACAATAGGGGAGATAACTCCACCAATCGAGTCGCTGAAATACATTGCCTGCATGAAACTTCGTCCACCATTTCCCCAGACGGCTAGCATCTCTGCATTTACCACTACAACATACAGGTTATATATTTGAGCAATGAATGTTTTAGCAAATGATGTTATGGTCCTATAAAACACATTGCTATTAATCACAAACTTAATACAACCTGGCAGGACTTTACGTAGGTTTGTCAGCAATAACAATGGCTGTTATAGGCCTATAACAGTATTTGCTAACGTCAAATTAAGTCTTGAAAACAGTTAAATTGATGACGTCACAATAGCGATTGATGACGTTATAAAATACTAAATATGTTATTGTTTGATAACAACATTTACCTTCTCAATGCATTTCAATGGAAGGATGCAGAGCAAATGTAAACATATATAAATAACAATGCTGTATTTTTATTGGTTATAGTACCCTCATCCGAGAACAGATAAAAATCTAAGACAACTTTGGTTTCCTGTATTCTTTAAGTAATTTCAATATGCTTATTCGATAATACACAGCAAAACAAATCCGACCATTACGTTATCCAAATATATACACTAAGATTTTTTGTATATAAAATATATTCAAAGTTGTGGTCGGAACCGCCCATTTCGTGGAAAACCGTGCGTGTTATTACGATATTTTTAGCCATTTCTTCTGTTAATCAGTATATCGAAATTCCTTTTTGTCAAATTTAACAATGTGATTAACGATACAAAGATGTACCTGGACTTTGTATTCCAGCATGAACATATGTTATCTTTTGAAAATATTTTTGAACAGAAAAGCATACCCTGTGGAATTTTCATAAAAACAAATATAAAATTTAAATGAAGTAAACACACACACACAAACCAACAACGATGTGTTGTTAAAATGTAACAATGACGCTGTTTGCTATTTCCGTCGCCGTTTTAGAACGGTTCCGGATAAGCGACGTTAAGCTTGGACGTCGACTTCTGGGACGGTCCGTTAATCGTCAAGTGGTCCTAAGGCGAATACCTAAACAGCAGTTAGTGATTCATGAATACCAATCTTCTGGACAACGCGACATTGTGATCGAAGGTCGGTTGTTTTTCCACAGGTACTCCTGTTTCCTGCAACACCATAACTTGGCTCGTCCTTAAAGCATAAAGGCTCTAACAGTAATCAAAGCACACCAAACAAAACTAGACTTAGGTATGTGTTTTAGTCTTCAAAAATTTCATATGTTTGGACGTAAGTAAAACCCTGAGTTTAAACTGACAGTGACCTTTTACTTATCATGAAATAACTCTCCTACAATATAATACTCTCAGGCAAAAATGTATTTGTGATATTAAATAAATAAATCTATTGTGGTATTTCCTATAACTAACTGCCGGTTTACCTGAATCTATGATTCCGTTACAGAACCCAACGATGGCGTGACCAGTTACCATGGCGACGTGGATGCGACACCAAGGAATGGCGGCCAGAACAATAGCGGCGAGCGTCAGGGCGAGAAACTGTACGATATATTTGTCGACATGGTTGCAGACAACTCCATACATGAATGAACCAACAACGAACCCAACGCTGAGGAACGTCATATAGAGGGAAGATTCGTCTAGGGTGACGGACGTTATTCTCTGAAGATCCAGCAAGGCTGAACTAGTCTGAGCTAGAATCCATCCCTGTGAAGAACGCAAAATGCAATAAAGTTGTTAATGCATACTAACTAAAAAATTAGATAAATAAATAAAAAAGGTTTGCGTACAGAAAAAAACAACAATATGCAACGTTTCGGTACAATGTTTAAATAACAGGTATAAACTCCTTATGAACCTTCACGGGTGAATGCATTTTGTGCGCATGAATACTTTTCTTTCTTTTGCACGTGCCAAATTTCACATTTGTCTCCGCTAGTAAGTAAGTTTGAGAATCTTAAACTGCAGCTTTGACGGCGCGACGTATTACTGGACTACGTAGAATAAGTCAAAGATTAGTGTGAATCCGCCTGGGTGAACGCCACAACCATCCACCCCGTACAATTGCCCACAGCAGCCGTCACGGCATCTGCCTAAGTAGTTTAGAGTTGCCTGAATTTAATAGGTAGATGTGATGGCCCTTTATTAATAAGGGGTTACCTGTATTTAATTGGTAACTGCCACGGTAGCTGTTTTAGTAATGTGTCTGATAACTGCCTTACTAAAGCAGACAGTTGTTTTGTAGAGCATTCCATTGGCCGATCTTTCAATGTCTGGCAAAATTAACATTCTATGCCGATAACACGTGATATGTAATACCGTACAGGTGTGCCCGATTGGATCGGTTTCCATATCATGTATCCGTGCCTAATTTCCTCCGTGAGGACAAGCAGGATTGGTTTTAAATTCGATATTATATATCTCCAATTTTGGTTACTTTTGTATCACAAGCCTGTTTTCACAATGTCATTTTACATCTGGCGAAGCGTT